TCTGCTCGTTCTACACATATTATGAGTGCTACATACTCAGCTGGATATAGCTGCGGTAAATCACTGGAAGCTAATCAACACCAACCAAGCCCGTGTGACTGGCGATGGACCACGGACGTCAGTGATCAATCAATTCCTTTCTGAACAACCCTTCCAAGGCAGCCACATTATTCAAGGAAGAACTGTTCAAATTCGGAAGCATGTAGGCCCCCTTGCATATGTTTCAATTCTTCACTTCCATGCACTGAACTGTCTATATCTTTAATGTGTGTACATATAAAAAACATGTTTCCTGAATTATAATGTGGCTATTCAGACGTGATAAAGCAAATAGTATGGTAACTGGTTGACAGAGGTTTTGATAGCTACCATATTTGATTTTGTACAAACACTCTACATGGATAAGTTTTGCCAGTTCTATTGAAATCCTTGGGAATAAAAAGCAATTTGGATAAGCAACTCTTCCCGTACAAATCCCCTGCCCAGCCCATATTTAAGATAATTTCGAAAAGGTTGGCCTTTTTTCATAACCAGTCGACTAATGTTATATACTGAACCAAATTAAAAACTTCACAATCCTAAATATTAATATTTTGACCAGTTATCAATGTGGGCCCTTATTGTGTATTTAAACAGTAATGGCCACGTATTGTCTTCAGAGAACACCCGTTTTTGTGCAGGTGAATCGATCAAAATCATGTGCACAGCACTATAGTGGCAAAAGTGTTTTTTCACGTGCAACTGGTCACGTGGCCATAATACCGTACGTGTTTTTAGCCACACTTGTTAGCAGTCATTAACAAAAAAAGAAAAAACACAAGAAAACAAAAGTCTTTACGGCCATTTGTCATGCCACGCCTTTCAAATGTGCAACGTGAACGTGCCATCGGCACGTTGCAGACGGGAACGTCCGTAGCTGAAGTCGCAAAGGCGATGGGTTGTAGTCGACGGACTGTTTATGATTTACAGACGCGTCTAAAGCAAACGGGTACCACCGCTTATCGCCCTCGGCAAGGTCGACCACGTGTGACGTCACATGCAGAGGATCGTCAGATTGTCTTACGTCACCTCCATAACCGATTTTTGACGGCTACATCAACCAGAAATGAACTGTTTAGGGGTAGACTGAGTTCGCAAACTGTTCGAAACCGTCTTGTAACTGCTCACCTTCAAACACGACGGCCATTCTGTGGGCCGATTCAGACGACAACATCAATTGTGGGCACAGCGACACTTACGATGCGGCTGCTTACCGCGACCAGGTACTGGCACCAGAACTTCTGCCTTTTATAGCAGCACATGGACCCGGTTTGATCTACCAACACGAAAATGCCAGACCCCACACATCAATTTTGAAGGAATTTCCTTCAGAATGCGGGAATCAACGTTATGGACTGGGCGTCACGGTCTCCCGACCACAATCCCATCGAACACGTCTGGGATGCTCTTGGCAGAAGTCTGCGCAATCTCGAGAACCAACCACAGAATTTGCAAGATCTTGGCACCATTTTGCAGCAACCATGGCGTCGTCTTCCCAATCGTGTGTTCACAAGCATCACAAGGTCAATGCGTTGTGTGGCAGTTGTCAACGCACATGGTGGCAATACACGCTTCTGAACTTGTGTGCCATCAGATTCTCGTGCTTGGGACGTATGATTTAAACTGTTGATGTTATTACAGAATACCGTAGGTGCTTGGAACAAATTATGGTTACCACCGTTAGTTAAAATCCTTCTTTGGACATTAATGATAATATTTTTTTCTTCTCTGATACATCTGTCCGTTGTATATCATATATGGGATTACTTTTAAAAATGTGAAGTTTTTAATTTGACTCAGTATATATCTGAAGAGACCAAACCAGATCAGTTGCACAACTTTGGCCTCCTTTGAGTTCACTAGGCTGTTATAAATATCTTATGCTTACTCCATCCAGAAGTTTTTGTTCTTTACCTCTCTTCGGTGCTGAAGATTCGAATTCACAGATTTCATTGTAATAGCATCGGATGGTTTCTTCCCAATTAATCTTGTTACTTCATTATTCAGGGCTGATACAACAGCTGATTATCGTTGATCTCAATCGATATGATTTCATTTCAATCACATACTGATATCCAAACAAACGTTCTGCTAATGTCTGGTTAATTCTTTCAACAATTGTTTGGCTATGATTTGCCCCTTTTCTGCCACGCCTGTTTGCAACATCGTGCTTTGTTAATAGTTTAGTTACTGATCCCATAAACTCGCGACGAAGATCTACTTGAAATAACTTCGTCCATTTGTATGATCCACGTTTATAAGTGCGGCCAAGTGCATTTGCTTCTTCAGTTGAATTTTTTAAGTATATAGTTCAGACTAGCTACATCTACTACGGTTAAAGCACATTTATATATTTTGCGTCTTACCTTCTCATGAGGAAGAAAGAAGAGGTCAGCCTGATGAACTTGATAAGTTTTGGAAATATTAATCGTGGGGCCAGTAAGTATATTTGCCATATTGCTTGGCAATTTAACCATTCCTTGTATTGGCAACATCTTTAGATACCTTAGGCATTGCAGCTAGTTTTTGTTCCGCCGCTATTCCTTTCTAGTCTGCTTGCGGACTACAGTAAATTTTATCCATTATTAATTAATATTGATGTTTCTTTAAAACAACCATTTATAACAATAGACAATTACAAGCCAACAAAAGAAGAACTTGACAAAGCTATTGAAGCTTCTGCTCTTGGACAAATTTATCAAAGTCGAAAATGACAACAAGGTATATACTTTATCATGGATGTCAAGCCAACCACATACGGTTTTCAATTGTTTCTTTCCAATTGTGAAGAAGAGCATACAGTCTGGTCTCCTTGTAAAATGAACAAAGAACTTAGTAAAAATGTTGCGTAAAATGATATTAAAGACTCTACGAAGGCATGCACACATTACCTTTCAACCAGTGTTGAAAAATATATTCGATATCAAGCCATCCGAATACGGTTATTAATTGTTTCTTTCCAGTTGTGAAGAAGAGTATTCAGTCTGGTCTTAGTAAAAATGTTGAATATCACTTTGTCCAAAATTATGGTATGCGTATGAATAAAAATATTAGAGAATAATTTCATTACAATTTAGCTTAAACTATTCCTCGAGATATGACGATCCTTGAATCGTCTTACATAGATCGAATAAACTTCACACTCTATAGATGCATTGACAGGGACCGACCTGGTCCAGGTTGGGTGGTCCAGAATACCCATCGTCTATACTGCTCACGGTCATAAGAAAATATATCCTCTACGTTGATAATACTTTCATCTACATAGATGTAACTCACATCTACGTAGATGATGCGACCATATACATATATGCAGATGATACTACTCACATCTATGTAGATGATACTACTCACATCTATGTAGAATAAACTTTCATCTATGTATATACTATTATATTCTACGTTGAAGAAAGTAGTATCTTCTATCGAATTATCGACTTGCCCCACCGTCGTACAACCGCAATAAACAAACCAACAACCGAATAATAATATCGTATGTGTCAATCATTCAGATTGCATTATACACACTAACGGCTGGGAGAAACAGGTGATATGTGCAAGATATTGGTATTCATAAATCATCTTACTTTAAAAACACAGGAGCAACATGTCTGTTTCTCCTTTTTCACAAAACATTGTGCAGAAGGTAGCCTAACGTTCATTGTACAACATCGTGCCTCCTTGAAAGATTATCACAAGAAGAGTACTCTTAAAAGACTTGTTACTTGTCGACTACCAAATTGAAAAAAATAAGAGATATATACGTGAAACCATTCAATGTTAAACCAACAAACAACAAATAATTGATACACAAGTAACAATTCATTTGTTTTGTTTGTAAAATTAACTAGGTTTACAAATCAACATATATTACTGGAAAGTAATTAAATAGGCAGTACACACAATAGAGTGGCAGTACAACGCCACTGACAGTAGACCAAAAATTGGCAAAGTGGTATCAGCAAAAGAAGTCGGTGATTATCATATTCACCTAGCAGCAACAGTGGTCAAACTTCCAAGATAGGTCTAGGTTACATTTCCAGGGTGAAAACAATGATTTTCACACAAACGCTTGATGTAATATGAGATGTAAGAGGCACACTTATGCCCTTTCTTTAGCCTAAATCCCTCCAGAGCAGTACGTTACATGATGGATTAGTCTGTACTGTTCCAGAAGATTCCAGATTACATTTGATACGAAGTATTCTAAATAAAGTAACTTCCACACCTCTGCTTTTATTATATAATAATCCATTCCCGACAACTAACCATTGCCAAAACACAACGCTATGAACGTCCACTGAATATCAACAGAAACAATGTAATGTTATTATGACATTGTTTAACAATAACTTACATCATCGGTTTTATAACAGTGTTACTGTATACACCAAAACGTCGCATTAATTGGAATAAAGAAATTGCATACCCATAGATCTATCTCCCTTGTTCACCATACCAACTTATAAGTGCCATTTAAAGAAGTAATAAATTACCTTGCCATATAACAATATATATGACTTCGAAGGCATAGTTTTATGTTATATCAAAATAAATATGACGCTTAACATATATTATAGATTGGTACACGTGTTGTTGTTGTTACCTGGAAATACTATACAAAAATACATGCACACTTTTATTAAGTGATTTGTGTATGGTCTGACACTGTGTTGATGAATTTTCTCGTCAAGCCAATATGGGGATAAAATTTGTGTGCTATGATCAAACGAAATAAATGAGTCAGATGTTTTTAGTCTTATACAAATCTGCCTTGTGGTTGCCAGTTGTGTTACTTAAATGTACTGCTTGTTGAATAAACAGAAATAAACATTAAATGTGACACACAATCTGATGGTTACTTTTTCATATTTTTTTTTGTCAAACAGGTAATATCTCATTTATACTGTTTTAATCGTTTCTCCAGGGCAACTAACATGTTTACCTAGCGAAATGTCTTCTAAATGTGTGCATTTGTTAGCTGTAGATCTTCTCTGCCTGCAACAATGGAACCTTCTCTTCCCTTCACTGACATCCTGCAGCAGAACCATACGTTCCTGAAAGAGAATCTTGATGTGGGACCAGTTCTAGAGCGACTATACACAGGACATATCTTTACCCTGGAAGACTATGAGGCATGCAAGTCGAAGCAGACTGTATCTGAGAAATGTGAAATGTTACTGTCGATACTGAGAAGGAAGGGGCCGAACGGATACGTGTATTTTCTTGATGTTCTGGCAACGTCACAACTACACGTTAAGAAACGGCTAGACGAAACCAAAAAGAAAACAGGTAATTCAAATATCTAGTTAAGAGTAACTGTTCACATATTCTACATTTTCCTGTAAACGAATTTATTGATGCTGAATAGGGAAACGTGTTTGGTAGTTACCAATTTGTGTGGCTTAATCATACAGAATATGTATTTTGTTTGTATTTGTATGTTAAAAGAAACGGGGAAATATATCAATCAAACTTTCCATGTTTATGAGAGTGATACCTGAAATGTCACGTATGACAGCCTGAACCTGAACAATGCAACTTGCTGGATAATACTCAGCATATGATGAGGTGAGGTGAAATTGGGTTTAACGTCGCGTCCAAGATTATTGCACTTATATAGCGACGTGCATGCACGTGTATGTGTGTGTGTGGCTGCTTGTACTAGTCCGGAGTGATGCCGATTTATAGTGCTAGCTCACTGAGATACCATGCCGCAGTTTAACATGAATACCCCACTCAGACACAGTATACTGACTCCGAGCCGACCAGTCCTTGTTTTAGCCCCTTAATGCCGAGCGCCAGACAGGGTAACAACAAGTACAATCTTTTAACATCTTTTTGTATGACGCGGCCCGGGATCGAACCCTGGACCTTCCGCTCTCCGGGCGGACGCTCTACCACAAGACCACGGAGGCGGTCGCATATGATGAGAAATACATATCTTATAGTGCAGTGACTAGTAAGTGTGTGAGTGAGTATGGGTTTATGCCAGTTTACGAGCAAAATTAATACTTCTTACCACAAAGCTACCTGACCGCCCCATAAGAGACAACTAACGCGATCGGGTGGTCAGGCTCGCTGACTTGGTTGATGCATGTCATCGTATCCCAATTGCGTAGACAAGAGCTCATACTGTCAATCACTGGACTGTCTGTTATGGAATCAAGTGCGGCGTTATACAACAAACAAACGTGTCTTAGAAAGGATGTTACAGTTAGCAATCCAATGACAAAGATATAATTATGTATGTATATATATTCATAAGAAGAAATGTATTTCCACTGAAAACGATCATCATGGAAAATCATTTGTTGTTAGTAAATATTGAAGATTTCTTATGAATAAATTTCCCTTTTCGTTGCCACACATTATTTCTGATTTCTAACATGGATTTAAGTTGTTTTAAAGTAATTTCATTCATTGTTTGCTAGGCACTACTTAGAAGTTGACGGGTGACACAGTAGACACAATTTATGGATAAACAACCTCTTTAATACTGTAAAGGCGACATTTCGATATAGATTCATATACCTTATCCTGTTTAATTGGCTATATGTCCCCCACCTTTGTGTTCTCTGTCCATCTTGTTGTGACAGCCTTATCCTTTTGTTGTCATGACTTACTCATGTTATCCCAATCATGTATGCAATTGTGTGTTACTGTTAAACCTCTACTGTTAATCCTCCACCAACTATATATATTCTGTACAATGTTCCTAACTTAGCCTTGCTTGACAACGGTGTAAGGATCTATACTGAAACGTCGTTTTTACAGTATTAAAGAAGTTGTTATCCATAAATTGAGTCTACTTTGTAATTTCATTCGTGTAGATTAGTGTAAAACAAAATCCCTGTTTGTTTCAGGACATATGATGCAACGGGAGCAACAGAAAGAGCCTTTTGATGAACTCAAGGCTGTAAGTACCTACTGTCAATGTCTATACTGCAGTCGAATCTCGTTAAGTAGACAGGAGAGACCCGTGAAGATCCGCGGTAGAATAGGTCTTCAGCAACCCATGCTTGCCGTAAAAGGCGACCATGTTTGTAAGAGGCGACTAACGGGATCAGGTGGTCAGGCTAGCTGACTTGGTTGATGAATGACATTAATCACAATTTACGTGGATCGATGCTTTTGATGTCAATCACTGGATTGTCTGATTATTTACAGACCGTCATATAGCTGGAATATTGCTGAGTGCGGCGTTAAACAACAAACAAACAAAAGAAACATGAGAACCAGAAAAAAAATCACCTGATACCTTCTTTCTGGTCCCGATAACAAACGTTTCTCTTTATCGTCACTTAAAACGAGATAGCAAGAAACGTACAAGCTGGCAAACTCCTTCAATGCATCTGAGTGCGATGTCGGTTCACAATTGATCGACACATCTAAACATTTGTTAGACAACGAATGTGCATCGGGACACTGATTGGTAATTGCAGCACTTAAATTTGTCATTGAGAGAGAGCTGCTCATTATAAACAAAGGGTTTTATACATGAAATATAATGTCAAAGATGGTGGTCGAAACATTATTAATGGAATAGTATTTTGTTTTTTTGGGTTACTTATTGTAAATAAATAACTTTAAAATACATACAACTAATATATGAAATAATTTCCCTGCTTTAATTGCGGTAAATTGCAATAACCACTACGGTAAATTGTAATAAAATATTATTCTTTGCTAATATACAAAGAAACATGCATGAAGTGGAAAATATGGGACTAAGCTGTTTGGAAATCAAAATCTAGACTTTGAAAATATTGAATTGATAAAGACTCCTGTACTTTAAATTTTCAATGATTGTATCTACTCCAAACAACTTCGATTTGAAGTGTTTGTTCGACTGCATTCACCATGGTCAATTGTCCGGATGTAGAGGTCTTGAATGGGCGTGGTCACCCGTAGTCTTCAGTTTCTCCGACGTAACCGTTGCATCAACCTGGTAGCATTCATACGGGCTCATCCAAACGTTCTCGTAAAGACGGCGTGCGGCGCCCCCTGTTGATTTCAACGGCTCTCTCCCTTTCTATAGCCGTGAAACGTCCCATTTCTTTGGTGTCCCGTTTTTTCCCACCGATTACATTTGGCTTGGTACGTGTGATATGTTTGAGTATGTTTTCATATAAAACAAATACATTTATTGACAATGTTTCTTAGTGCGGGAAATATACCACAAACATAATGCTTTACACATACTATCTCCGTTAAATAGTGATGATGCATTGCAGTTGGTTCTTATTCCCCAGGTGTCTAAATTTATCTACTTAGTAGTATAGGTGCCTACAATTTCTTATAGAAGCACTCTGTCAGTGCTATGAATATATTAGATAAATACATATATGTTTTATCTATTAACAGACATCGCACGTGAAAATCCTGAAACGCAATTCTTCCTTCCTGGTCAAAAACCTGGAGCTTAAGCCAAATCTTGACAAATTGTACGAGCTCAAAATATTCTCTGAGGAAAACAAGCAGGACTGTATTTCAAAGGAGGGCACAACTTCTCAGATTAAAGAGCTTATCTCAATCCTCGAAAGGAAAGGAAGAGCGGACTTTGATTCCTTCCTTCACGTACTGGGTGAGATTCAACCCTTCATTAAAGATCATCTAAAGGGACTAGAGGACACCACCACTGCAACAGACACGCTCGTTTTCAAACTGAAAGCTAAAATAAAGGAACTCGAAGGGGTATGTAGATCTTTAGACTACATGTAACTGTAAATGAGCTTACTCAGATATTATAAGCCGACTGTTTGTTTTATTAACTTTTATATCATATATTAGGAATAGCAATTTTATCATGTGATAATTTGGTGAACAGGATATATTTTCCTTTAATTCTAATAATGACAATTCTTATTCGGAAACCATGAGGGTAATATTGCATGTATTTAGCAAAGCATATAATTCATAAAAAAGTTAATGTTTAAGGCGTATTTTCACCCACTGAAGTAACTTGTACACAGACTTCGGTGAAGGTTAAGGTCATATTCTGAGCAACTACTTACTACCCTTGTGTGGCCCTCAACAATACGTTTCCAACATATCTGTGGATTATCAAGGCATTGATGATAATGCAAACCAGACAAGACCGTCGAACATTTAATAACTCTCAAAAACCATACATATTCGACACATACGGAGGTGAATTCAACCGAAGCACGAGTACCTTATCAATGAATTACAATCAGGTAATGTGTCAGTCATAATTTCACCTATGGTCATCACCATGGAGTAACCAATCACGGACCTTGAATTCCATCTCACAGTTATCTTCAATGGGTTTCTCTCCTACAAGTGTGTATGAAAAGTAGGTCCTGCTTGGTGACGGATCTGATGTAGGAATGATGTATTGCTTCTACAAAACTATTAGTTTTAATGATGCGAGTTATGCCATTTGTAAGAGATGAACGCATCTAAGCGAGTAAGTGAGCTCGAGTTCGGTTGTTTTAATGTTATTCCAGGCATATTAAAGCAGGGGAGGAATTGGCTTCACATATTGTTTCCGTTTGAAAGATATTCGATGGCATGAATTGTAATTTTACTTACCGCATCATGGTGAGAGGTGTTTTTATTTACTTCAGGAAAATGACATCCAGAAGAAGGATATTGCAAGTTTGCAAGAAATGATAGAACCACTCCAGGAGTCTCTTGTGCAACTAAGGAAAGAGAAGGCTGACAGTGACAGGGAAAGACAGCTGCTGAAGCAGAGGAATAAATATCTTGAAGGGGTATGAAAAGTCTAACTGAGGAATTGCTATGGAATTTGAGCCAACCATAGTGTGATTTGTTTTTCTTAACATTATTTACAGACCGCCGTCATATAGCTGGAATATTGCTGAGTGTGGCGTTAAACATTTTTCATGATCATGTGCTTGCCAGAGCTTATAATTACACGTGAACCAATCGCAAATGTGGACAAATCATTCTAGGGGTGCATATATCTTTTAGAGTAGCTAAAGTCAGGTGACGTCAGTGGTAGAATGCACAATCTGAAAAAAAGAAACAGCAATGGAATAAACCTATCCCAGCCAGCTGTCATCAAAAGTCTGGCTGCCATACGTGAAACGTTTGTGTTAGTTCCCACTTACAAGGCCTCCTGTGCCACCGCCATTATATGTTACATAATTACGTTAAATGTTGTTTGATCAGTACTATCAACTTTGGATTCTATAACCAGATGGTATGTCCATTCTCTTGTATACTGGATTCCAATGATCCACAAATTCCAAAGAAATATATATTGGGAGGTTCAGCAAGTGTTCCTCCAAACCCGTGTGTCAGAGATTAACCATAATTCATAAAACAGTCAGGGACTTTCACTTTATTCACATAATTTTTTTGAGACAAGTGGAACCCATGTGGATTCTCAAAACAGTTACAATCTAAAAAAGAACCAATTTCAATTCTGTCAACCAATCTTTTAACCACTGTCCTACAGGACAAAATTATGTGAATCCTTTATTCCTTAATTCACGAGGCATTTGGCATTAAACGTGGTGAACATATATACTGAGGAAACGTCACCATGGATAGATATATGAGAAACCGTATTTGTCCAAACACTGTATACATACTTTGAGACATATTAAAAAGATGAAACTTGGCAAGACTGATCATCAAGGTTGACATTACAGTGCCAAATGTTCTTAAAGTGAAACACAACACTAGTCTCAGAAAATGGCATCACAAGTCAGTATATCGTGTGTCCGCCATGTGCATTGATGACTGCCGTGCAACGTCAATACATGGAATAGATGAGGCGGTTGATGAAGGCCATAGACACTTGAGCCAACACTCTGAGGAACGCCTGACGCAGTTCGGCTGCAGTTGTCGGCCTTGGTCGGACGTCATTCAGCCGTCTTTGAATCTCGTCCCACAGGTGCTCAATGGGATTTAAATCGGGACTGAGGGTAGGCCACTGCATGGTTCTGATGCCATTCTGCTGGAGGAACTCTCTTGTTGCTTTTGCAGTGAGGGCACGGGCGTTATCATGCTGAAACTCGTGGTTACGGCGACGTGCCAAGCGAGGTATGGCGTGTGTTCCAAAGACTTGATCAATGTACCGAGCTGCTGTGACAACATTGCCTCTCCCTGAACCGTTGTTCTGGAAGACCACAGGGCCGACCCTCTGTGCAAGACCAATTCTAACCCACACCAGGATGCTCGACCACCCCACGATTCTCTCCAGAACAAAAGCATCCGAAAAACGTTCCCCACGGCGTCACCAGACTCTCTCTCTCTCTCTCTCTCTCTCTCTCTCTCTCTCTCTCTCTCTCTCTCTCTCTCTCTCTCTCTCTACCTTCTGCTGTTGAGATACAGTGATGGCTCTCGTCTGAGAAGAGGACTCTTTTCCAGTGCTGGTGGCGCAATGCTGGTGCTGTGTTGCCCACTGAAGACGATCCCGGCGATGACGTGGTGTCGGAATGGGTCCTCGGTGTGGCCTGTGACAGTGGAGGTGTCTGTTCGTCAATCGTCGACGCACGGTGTCCGCACTAATGTGTCGCTGGTGTGTCCCCATGGTCTTTCGAGAAGTCTCCGCAGCAGTAACAAAGCGATCTTGAAGACGCTGTAGCACAATCTGACGATCCTGACGTCGGGTGGTGACCGTTGGTCTTCCACTACGTGGTCTGAAGTTTACTGAAAGTACATTATGTGAAATGATGGACTTCCTTACAGATAACACGTACAGGACATTGAATCAATAAGCAGACATGCCCATAGGGACCGATTATGCTCCGAGCGTTTGGCAAATTAGTTTAACTTTCGTATATGTCGACGGTCTGACATCGTTTAATAATGGCCAATTAGCCAATTTCCCACTGACTTACACACCTGAAAAGTGACAAGCCAGGGTGACAAAACTATCCACAAGATTGTATGACAAGTGGGAGAAATTTCACTTTCCGACAGTTCCTTTTGTAGAGCAAGTTTCGAGCAGCTCCAGCTTTTTGATGTCTACATTTAATGTTTGAAGCACAATCGAGCGTGCTCTTTTACAAAGTTTTCAAAGAGCTCTGTAGGACGGTTTGCTCAAACATATGTTAATAAGGGTACAACATTCTCGACCTAGGTAAAACTTTCATTTTTATGCTACTAGACGTGTGAAGGCCATTTCTAAATTTGATTAATCAGTTACCAAAATGTTCAATGCAATTTCCAATTTTGACTCCTACCATATGTTATTCTGTTCATGTGAACACGGAACTTGACTATGAACGTGGTTGTGAAGAATGCTATCACTAATTGACAGTAAATCATAAACACATTCTCATGATACTGTCTAATTTGTACAACGGACTCAGCTTTTGGCAAAGATTTCTTAGGTTTATGGAAATGTTTTTTGTCTCTTTTATTTATTATTATTTTTGTGAAAAGTTTTTTTTAGCTTTTAAATTATACTGAACATATAAAACGTGACTTTTACATGAACTGAACAAATTCGAACTCTTTGATATCCAGTTAACTATATTATGAGACGTGGTAGGAGTAAAATGAATTATGATATGATATAATGTGTTATGTTTGTCATTTGTATTTTTGTTCAGGTGCAAAACTTGTCTAGAGATGAAACCCCTGACAGAGAACGTATTAAAAGCCTACTTGGATCCCTTTCAAATATGGGTAATAATATTTGTATGTCACTTATCATATATCGAATTTAGGCCACATCATACACATCATAATGTTTTGATTCAAGAAAAAAGTAAACATGTATTGAAATTGTAAAGGCTGACACAGTTAGGGATAATATTATTTATTTAACTTACAATAACAAATTATTATTTCTAGCACTTCTCACTTTTTAGGTATTTCCCACAATGTCACACCCCATCTGCTGAAGTCGACTGCAGTGGACAACACCTTTGTTCTACAATGTGAGTATTCTGGTGTGTTCTAACAGGTTGGTATAATACACTTGTTTGCAAGGACTATGGTGGTAATACTTTCAACATATGCCATATGACCAGACTACGTTGTGCACGTCGGAAATGACAGATTTGTTCAACCGTTCCTTCTGAATAACGAAATATTTTGTTTCGAAACACGTCAGAGAAGTTAAAAAGTTGAAAATACAACGCATTTATAACAGAATGGGTATGTGAAAAGGACAGAAGAAAAACATGTGTGCCAAAAGCGGTTAGATTAATTGTTATCATTTCTGATTGCTTCATCGTATTATAGAACATGTAGCCTATGATCGATTGTTTTTCATACTACTTACATTGTATTTGGTTGTTTAGGACCCCTGATCCTGATCAGTTACTATATTAAAAGTTTTAAATAACTATCATTTGTTGTGCAAACACAGATACACATTTAACTTTCCAGTCAACCACTGTCATAAGCAAGACGTTAATCTCATATTTATTATGAGGAATATATAAAACCGGGGATATATATTGTGCCAGGTTAAGGATTATATAGAAAATCGCTATCGACTTCTCCCGGCTGTTATTTACGATCCAGATTATCCGCTGACTGGCCCGGTGTTTGAACTAGTTTGAATATATATTTTCTGACGTATTAATGTGTGGGAAAGGACAAAACTGACAATGCAAACTGCATGTCACAGGGCGTGACCACCTGATCCATGTTTTAGTTCCCTCTTGCGACAGGTTTAACATTATTTGGACCATTGGGAGAAAATGCTCAAGACATTATACTTATGCTACCGTTTGGGATAGAATGAGTACAAATTGTACTTCGTGAGTTTCCCATGTTTCCTCAATTGTTGATTACATATTTATACATCTACATCACATTTGTATGTAAAAGTGCTTTAAACGTTGTACAGTCAAGTCTCGTTAATCCGACACTCGTTAATCCGACACTCGGCTTTATACGACACAAATGATGGGAACCGATTGATTCAGTGCTATTTAGTCCCGTTAATCCGACATTCTCGCACTCCGACTCCGACACACCTAATTTGCAACGAATTACCGAAATCACTCATTAATCAGTCTATTTTAAGTAGATGAAGCAAGTTGTTAAGACAGTAGCACTTGTATTTACACGAGGAAACGTGTGTGGTTGATGTGATATATTCAGTGAGTAATGTCTCTATTGTTACGTATAAATGGGAAAATTATTATTATAAGGTACACACGGTTATTATCTATCGTGAAGATGTCCGATTTTTTTATCACAAATCACTTAATTTCGTTAATCCGACATACTCGTTAATCCGACACAATCATGTGCATCCAACGATGTCGGATTAACGAGACTTGACTGTAATTGTTCTAGATACTTCCAAGAGGCTGAAACACACAATGGTGATTTTTGCTGAGATTCACATCATAACAATATGCAGGTTATGTCCAAAGGTCCTTCAGTGTACTATCACCAAAAGATCGAAAGGATTGTTTTCTTTAATAGCAAATCGAGGTATCTCCTTACTGTGGATGATCAAGTTTGAGTCATGCCATTATAACTGTATAGGTTTTTAGACTAATCTCAGACTTGTCATGATACTGTATGGGACATAAATAGCTGGTAATGAATAGTACGATTGTTGATACTGACAGTGGAAAACGGGAAACCAGTCATTTGTGGCAATCAACATGTCGTTTTCGGCTGGAATAGCTGTAAATACTCAATTTCGTCTCGCAACTAGTGTATTACAAATGTGGCACCTGTAACAGTCTCGTAACAAACACGTTGCTTTCGAGAAGCTTCGTTATTGCATAACATGCCATTTATTGAAGAGTTTATAACATTTAGTGATATGTTCCTGCCGATGTTTATTCATTTGTGGGACCAAGGTGTAAACCCACTTCGTGAGTGAGTGAGTGAGTGAGTGAGTGAGTGAGTTAGGAGATAAACCTACGGTATTTTGATTTTTTTATGTATTTCCACTGTAGAGTAGATACCTCTTATTTAAATATTGAACTGGGTGCTTTAGCGCTTTAGCGACAGTGGGACTACATCAAATTTCAAAACATGGAAGGTTTATCTCTATTCTACCATGACGGCAACAACGCTTTGTAAACGGTATTCTCTTGCAACACGTAACAGAACCGGGCACAAACGTCTGCAATATTAGAACATTCCGACAAGTGACAACAGGTAGTAATATGTGTAACAAATATGAATAAGGTTCATCATTTAAATACCCATAGTCTTGGGAAATTCAAAATAGGTGTTCAAAACACATAGTTTTTCAAAAAGAAGTTGACAAATAACTCACAAAACTTAGTCCCAAATATATATGTTTAATTCCATGGCAACCTGCTCAGCGCTGGTTCGACTCAGCGAGTCATTTCTTGGAAATCAACGAGAAAAGTCATGTCTTGGAAATCGAGTATGCCATTTCCATTGTAGGGGTGACAGGTTGTTAAATAGTTATAAAAATGCTGAACGTATATAGTTCTCAAACAAACTTTATGAATTAGCATTCTACTATTAATTTTACATGAGTAAGTTTTATTAGATTTGCAATTACCCCAGTAGATAATTGAAAAGAACAAAATAAATGCCTCTCCACCTGGAACTTGGATGTGGCAGAACTTGACCTACATCACGGTTACTCACATCTCACAACTGTCAATGGCTGACAGTGTTGTGATTACATTTTGTGCCACAGACAAGTTACACGAGCACGATGACAACGCTGATCTTTCATGTTATTCAACATTAACGTGTAGATTTACTCGAATGAGCCTGCTGGTGCAATGCGATTGCCAATGGAACTGAGTATGACTGATGAAGCCGCTTTTTAGGCTAAAGACAAGCCGGCTATTTTGACACAGGAATCTGCATGATTTGACCTGTCACTTTCAAGATTTCAGGGATTTAAAGCCTATGTGTGAAAGCAATGATACCTTTGTGACTCAGACATAGTGGTTCGTGTATGAGTTTCATTATTGTGCGTGTCCTGAATTGAATTTCATCACGTTAGAAAAGCTGTGACTTCAGTGATGTCGGGACTGACGTCACAGCGTTTCAAACTTGATGAAATTCATTTGTCATTGTTTTCGTGGCATTTCGAAGGAACCAGTGTTTTCTGATGGACTTTCAAATCGGTCATTGTCGGTTATTGCAATGATGAAATTGTCTGTTCCGAGTCTGTTCGTCATCGAACATGTCCCTAAAAGTTTCATAAACAGTTCATTTGCATGCATAAAATATGCCTTAGTAAAGTATTGTAATCTCATCATCGAAGCAGTCAGGGTTACGGCCTAGAACATAATATCGTCGCCAAAAACATCCAATATCAAACTACCGTACTTCAACTATTAGACGCTGGGCCGTCTATTTATTTCGCGGGAACCCTTGACACGGCGTGTAATAGGGGAAATATATATACGTTTTACAGTTTATATAGGGCCGATCGATCGGCAGCCATTTTTGTATGAATCGAAATTTAAGCTATGGATGTATTCATACGCACGTTTTTTGGTGTGAAAAGGCTTGATATATTTTAAGGGGTTTCCCTAGCAAAAAGGCTCTTTGGAACTAATCAGAATCAAGCATTCATCAATGTCATATGGCGAATATGGTTTTACGCCACCTTTAGCAATATTCCAGATATATCACGGCGGGGGACACCAGAAATGAGCTTCACACAATGTACGCATTTGGGGAATCGAACCCGGGTCATCGACGTGACGAGCGAACGCTTTTACTACTAGGCTACCCCACCAAACCCAAACGTCATGATTAAGAATAATGCTGCTGAGGTGTATTGTCGTTAAATGAAACAGAGGCAGATAGGTTTAAAAGAAACACAATTCACTTCATAATCCTCGAAGACAAGGCTCAGAAGTACTCTCTCTCTCTTGCAGCAGTGGGGGCAATAGCCATTTTATTTTAGGCATAAACATTAAAAGAAGCAAGTCTAGATTTTCCTCAGGTGCTGAGTCTCCCATCTCATTTGGTGCTCCTTTTAAATGGATTTATTTTATTCTATCAAACTTACATATTTTAAGAGACTAAGCGTCAGTCTAGCCCACACCTACACATGCGTGTCGTGGGAGGCGACGACAGACAAAGACGTTTATTCACATAAATAGGGCACCGTTTACACATTAAAATATCATCTGGCAATGTGACAGTATTAAATCTGGGCTTCTTGCGTTGAGCCGCAACACCACATGAGTCAAATTACACAATCTCGACTAAATTACATGGTAGATTGAGCCATCCGTTCGCTTGTGGTTCATTTTTATATAGTATTATGTCATCATTACGTAGGATTTGCGATGATACCTCTTGTAAGAAAAAAGGAAAAAACGTGCCGACAGGTCTGTGTGGTGATACCTTAAATATTCGGAGCATCACTAACAATTACACAGCCGAATTGCACATTATGTGTTTTTGATAAGGTGGGTTGTGTCTGTTGACAAGTGACAAATTTTCAACGCATTTGTATTTACTGTCTATAAAATAATTAAATAATACTACATAATTATGAGTTTCGATATTGCTGAAGAGCTGCGCGTGATCACGATGATGTTCAGACGATGGGGAAATCTCCCTCTGGTCCATATAACTGAAATCGACTAATTAAACATTTGCACCTCGATTTGTTACAACACAAAGTAAGTTGTACAGTCTTCACAGTCATGTGATTACAGTTTACATCGGCATTTCAATTATTTCAGAAATACAAAAAACAAAATGATGCTTACTTGTGGTCTGCCAGTAAGACCAGTCGATACTTGAACGCTAAGCCTCGGGTCACACCTTAAAGCTATTTGCTGTTTTTCATAAATAATTAGGTCATTGTTGGTCCCTTTGAGTATTCGACGCTAAATATGACAAAACACCCAATATGAATTTTCTCCTTTCAAACACTTTGTATCATTTCTTTTGGACATTAGTGTATGTAGCTATCGTGAACCATACTATTATCATTCAACCTGGATGT